AATGTTTCTATACAGTACCAGTCCTTCTTCCACTGTTTGATTTAGTTTCACTGTCCATATACATACATAGAAAGGTTCATGTTGTAAAAGAAGTCAAGGCAATCTGGAATAATCAGAACCCTTCTTTCTCTGATACTGTCTAATGTCAGTTTGTTTTTTGGCACTGCTTCTTCTATTTGTTTGTTTTTATTTTAGAGGGGGAGGTAATTAGGTTTATTTATTTATATGTAGGTACTGGGGATTGAACCCAGGACCTCCTGCATGTTCTTTTGTGTCTTATTCCTCATCATCTGGCACTGGTTTGGAAACACTCTATCAAGTCATCTTCTGTTGATTCATCTTGTGTGGTGTCTGTTAGCTCTTGAATTTCTCCAAGATCCATAGTTTTAAACCTTCCACCCTACCTTTTTTGCCATATCAATGATCTTTTCATGATTTCCTTATTGGCTCTGACATAAATCCTATGAAATCATGTATAACATCTGGACACAGTTTTCTCTAGCAAGAATGTGTTGTTTTGGACTTAAGGGCTTTCACATAATCCTTTCAGACTTTCATAATGTTCTCTGTATCAGGGTTCTCTTCCACAATGTTACTAATCCTTTCAGTAGAGGACTGTGTGTAATGAACCTTAAAGGTTCTAATGACCCCTTGATCTAGAGGCTGAATTAGAGACATTGTGTTTGGGAGCAGGTAGACCACTTTGACACCTTTTATGTTGTATGCATGGGGTTCTAGATATCCAGAGGTGTGGTCCAATATCAAAAGAACTTTAAAAATCACTCCCTTACTGACAAAGTACTTCCTGTCTTCAGTGACAAAGCATCAATGGAACTAACCTAGAAAAAGGGTTCTCATTGTCCAGGTCTTCTTGTTGTACAACTGAAAAATGAGCAGGTGGTGTTTATCCTTCCCTTTCAAGGCTCAGGGTTAGCAGCCTTATAGATAAAAGCAGTCCTGATCATAAAACCCCACTGTATTTGCACAGAACAGTAAAGTT